TTGACCGTTTACAAGTTCTTAAACAGGAGGGGGTGGGGGTGACCCCAGGGAACTCGCCATATATTTCATTTGATTTGTTTTATGGTCCCATACAAGAATATAAATGGTTTCCGCATGGGGATCTTGACCGTTTAAAAGTTTTCAAAAAGAAGGGGGGTGAGGGTTACCCCAGGGGATTTCCCCTTAATTTCATTTGATTTGTTGTATTGTCTCATTCAAGAATATATATGGTTTAGGGATGGGGATCTAGATCGTTTACAAGTTATCAAAAAGAAAGGGGGTGGGGGTGAACCCCATGGACTTCCCCTATATTTCATTTGATTTGTTTTATTGCATACAAGAATATATATGGTTTAGGGGTAGGGGATCTCAACCGTTTACAAGTTCTCAAACAGGACAGGGTGGGGGTGACCCCAGGGGACTCGCCTTTTATTTTTTATTTGATTTGTTTTATTGTCCCTTACAAGAATATACATTGTTTCGGGGTGGAGATTTTGACTGTTTACAAGATTTCAAAAAAAAGGGGGGTGAGGTTGACCCAGGGGACTCACCCTCAATTTCATTTGATTTGTTTTATTGTCCCATTCAAGAATATATATGGTCTAGGGGTGGGGATCTCGACTGTTTACAAGTTATCAAAAAGAAGGGGGGTGGGGGTGAGCCCCATGGACTTCCCCTATATATCATTTGATTTGTTTTATTGTCCCATTCAAGAATATATATGGTTTAGGGGTGGGGATCTCGACGGTTTACAAGTTCTTAAACAGGATGGGGTGGGGTGACCCCAGGGGACTCGCCTTTTATTTCATTAGATTTGTTTTATTGTCCCATACAACAATATATATGGTTTCTGGGTGGGGATCTCGACTGTTTACAAGTTTTCAATAAAATGCTCCGCAGGACACAGCTTGATACGACCGCAGAGGCTGAACCCTGAACAGTTGGGGCAAGTATGGACACAACATTCAAGCTTGATACAGCTCTGAATTTGGATTGTGATTAAATATTAAAGTTTAATTTGGACCCTTTTGACCTCAATGTGGACAAAGTTGATAATGGGGCCCAAAAATCAAAAATCTAAATACATGGTTAGATTCAGCATATCAAAGAACCCCATATATTCAATTTTTGTTGAAATCAAACAAAGTTTAATTTTGGACCCCGATTTGGACCAACTTGAAAACTGGGCCCATAATCAAAAATCTAAATACATGTTTAGATTCAGCATATCAAAGAACCCTAAGAATTCAATTTTTGTTAAAATCAAACTAAGTTTAATATTGGACCCTTTGGACCTTAATGTAGACCAATTTGAAAACGGAACCAAAAATTAAGAATCTAAATACACAGTTAGAATTGGCATATCAAAGAACCCCAATAATTCAATTTTTGATGAAATCAAACAAAGTTTAATTTTGGACCCTTTGGACCTCAATGTGGACCAATTTAAAAACTGGGCCCAAAATACAAAACTTAATACACGGTTAGAATCAGCATATTAAAGTACCCCAAGAATTCAAGAATAAAACCCATTGAAATTGGTCAAGAAATAAGCAATTTATACGAAGTATCTTCTTTTGCACAATACTGTGCAATTGAATATTTCTTGCTATTGCCCAATACTGTACAATTGACAATTTCTTGCTATTGCGCAATATTGTGCTATTGGATATTTCTTGCTATTGCACAATACTGTGCAATTGAAGATTTCTTGCTATTGCGCAATACTGTGCAATTGAAGATTTCTTGCTGTTGTGCAATACTGTGCAATTGAAAATTTCTTGCTATTGCACAATACTTATTATATAATAATTTACACATCCTGTTTGGTGTGTATCTCCTACCATATCAATAGTATTTGCTTTTAAATATAAAACAGAAATAACCAACTTAAAATGGAAAATTTTAAAAGAAAAAAAAAAGGAAAAAAAAAAATCCCCCCCCCCCAAATTTTTTGAACCCCCTTATGATTCATCACCTCCAAACTCAATCCCAGCCTTCCCTTTGTGGTATGGTACCTTGCAGTACAATTTCAGAGAGATCCATACACTTGAACACAAGTTATTGTCTGGAAACTAGAAAAATGCTTGTTTTTTGCCCCTTTTTTGGCCCCTAATTCCTAATATTTTGAGGCAATTACCCCCCAAAATCAATCCCAGCATTCCCTGTGTGATATGGAACCTTGTGGTACAATGTCAGAGAGATCCATACACTAACACACAAGTTATGTCTGGAAGTTACAAAAATGCTTATTTTTGGCCCCTAATTCCTTAACTGTTGGTACCATAACCCCCAAAATCAATCCCAACCTTCCTTTTGTGGTATTGAACCTTATTGTAAAATTTCATAGAGATCCATTCACTTAAACTAAAGTTAGAGTGCGAAAACCAATGTGTCTTCGGACGACGCTGGACGACGCCAGATGACGACGACGCCGCCAACGTCATACCAATATACGACCGCAAAAATTTTTTTGCGGTCGTATAAAAAGAAGGTTGGTGAGGTTAACCTAATGGACTTCACCTATATTTCATTTGATTTGTGTTATTGTCCCGTACAAGAATATATATGGTTTAGGGGTGGGGATCTCAACTGTTTACAAGTTCTCAAACAGGAGGAGGAGGGGGTGACCCCAGGGGATTCGCCTTTTATTTCATTTGATTTGTTTTGTTGTCTCATACAACTAGAGGCTCTAAAGAGCCTGTGTCGCTCACCTTGGTCTATGTGAATATTAAACAAAGGACGCAGATGGATTCATGACAAAATTGTGTTTTGGTGATGGTGATGTGTTTGTACATCTTAATTTACTGAACATTTTTCCTGCTTACAATTATCTCTATCTATAATTAACTTGGCCCAGTAGTTTCAGAGGAGAAGATTTTTGTAAAAGATTACTAAGATTTACGAAAAAATGGTTAAAATTGACTATAAAGGGCAATAACTCCTAAAGGGGTCAACTGACAATTTCGGTCATGTTGACTTATTTGTAGATCTTACTTTGCCGACATTTATCGTTTTTTACAGTTTATCTCTATCTATAATAATATTCAAGATAATAACCAAAAACAGCAAAATTACCTTAAAATTACCAATTCTGGGGCAGCAACTCAACAACGGGTTGTCCGATTCATCTGAAAATTTCAGGGCAGATAGATCTTGACCTGATAAACAATTTTACTTCATGTCAGATTTGCTTTAAATGCTTTGGTTTTTGAGTTAAAAGCCAAAAACTGAATTTTACCCCTATGTTCTATTTTTAGCCGTGGCGGCCATCTTGGTTGGTTGACCAGGTCACGCCACACATTTTTAAAACTAAATAACCAAATGATGATTGTGGCCAAGTTTGGTTTAATTTGGCCCAGTTGTTTCAGAGGAGAAGATTTTTGTAAAAGATTACTAAGATTTACGAAAAATGGTTAAAAATTGACTATAAAGGGCAATTACTCCTAAAGGGGTCAACTGACCATTTCGGTTATATTGACTTATTTGTAAATCTTACTTTGCTGAACATTATTGCTGTTTACAGTTTATCTCTATCTATAATAATATTCAAGATAATAACCAAAAACAGCAAAATTTCCTTAAAATTACCAATTCAGGGGCAGCAACCCAATAACGGGTTGTCCGATTCATCTGAAAATTTCAGGGCAGATAGATCTTGACCTGATGAACAATTTTACCCCTGTCAGATTTGCTTTAAATGCTTTGGTTTTTGAGTTAAAAGCCAAAAACTGAATTTTACCCCTATGTTCTATTTTTAGCCGTGGCAGCCATCTTGGTTGGTTGACCAGGTCACGCCACACATTTTTAAAACTAGATAACCAAATGATGATTGTTGCCAAGTTTGGTTTAATTTGGCCACGTAGTTTCAGAGGAGAAGATTTTTGTAAAAGATTACTAAGATTTACGAAAAATTGTTAAAAATTGACTATAAAGGGCAATAACTCCTAAAGGGATCAACTGACCATTTCAGTCATGTTGACTTATTTGTTAATCTTACTTTGCTGAACATTATTGCTGTTTACAGTTTATCTCTATCTATAATAATATTCAAGATAATAACCAAAAACAGCAAAATTTCCTTAAAATTACCAATTCAGGGGCAGCAACCCAACAACAGGTTGTTCGATTCATCTGAAAATTTTAGGGCAGATAGATCTTGACCTGATAAACAATTTTACTTCATGTCAGATTTGCTCTAAATGCTTTGGTTTTTGAGTTATAAGCCAAAAACTGCATTTTACCCCTATGTTTTATTTTAGCTGTGGCAGCCATCTTGGTTGGTTGGCCGGGTCACGCCACACATTTTTTAAACTAGATACCCCAATGATGATTGTGGCCAAGTTTGGTTTAATTTGGCCCATTTGTTTCAGAGGAGAAGATTTTTGTAAAAGATTACTAAGATTTACGAAAAATGGTTAAAAATTGACTATAAAGGGCAATTTCTCCTAAAGGGGTCAACTGACCATTTCGGTTATATTGACTTATTTGTAAATCTTACTTTGCTGAACATTATTGCTGTTTACAGTTTATCTCTATCTATAATAATATTCAAGATAATAACCAAAAACAGCAAAATTTCCTTAAAATTACCAATTCAGGGGCAGCAACCCAATAACGGGTTGTCCGATTCATCTGAAAATTTCAGGGCAGATAGATCTTGACCTGATGAACAATTTTACCCCATGTCAGATTTGCTCTTAATGCTTTGGTTTTTGAGTTATAAGCTAAAAACTGCATTTTACCCCTATGTTCTATTTTTAGCCGTGGCGGCCATCTTGGTTGGTTGACAGGGTCACGCCACACATTTTTAAAACTAGATACCCCAATGATGATTGTGGCCAAGTTTGGTTTAATTTGGCCCAGTAGTTTCAGAGGAGAAGATTTTTGTAAAAGTTTACGGACGACGGACGACGGACGACGGACGCAGGACGACGGACGACGGACGCAAAGTGATGAGAAAAGCTCACTTGACCTTTCAGGTCAGGTGAGCTAAAAATATATATGGTTTCAGGGTTGGGATCTTGACCGTTTACAAGTTTTCAAAAAGTAGGGGGGTAGGGGTGAACCTGGGGACTCCCCAAATCTTTTATTTGATATGTTTTATTTTCCCATTCAAGAATATATATGGTTTAGCGGTGGGGATCTCAACTGTTTAAAAGATAAAAGCACATTCTCAAATTGAAAGGGGGTGGGGGTAAGAATATATATATGGTTTAGGGAGACTTAATAACATGCTCCGCTGGGGTGCAGCTTGATACGACCGCAGAGGTCGAACCCTGAACAGTTGGGGCAAGTATGGACACAACATTCAAGCTTGATACAGCACTGAATTTGGATTGTGATTAAATATTTGACACAGCATAGGTTTCTGACACAGAATGAATGTGGTCTAAGAACTTAAAATTTTTTAATTTACCTATTCAAACCATATCATTATTATTTGCTTTTATATATAAATCAGAAATAACCAATTTAAAATGGAAAATTTTAAAGAAAAAAAAAGTCCTCCACTAAATTTTTTGAACCCCCTTATGATTCATCACCCTCAAACTCAATCCCAGCCTTCCCTTTGTGGTATGGTACCTTGCAGTACAATTTCAGAGAGATCCATACACTTGAACACAAGTTATTGTCTGGAAACTAGAAAAATGCTTGTTTTTAGGACCCTTTTTGGCCCCAAATTCCTAAATGTTTAGGGCAATTACCCCCAAACTCAAACCCAGCTTTCCTTTTGTGATATGGAACCTTGTAGTACAATTTCATAAAGATCCATACACTTACACACAAGTTATTGTCCTAAAACTAGAAAAATGCTTGTTTTTGCCCCTTTTTGGCCCCTAATTCCTAAAATTTTGAGGCAATTACCCCCAAAATCAATCCCAGCATTCCCTTTGTGGTATGGTACCTTGCAGTACAATTTCAGAGAGATCCATACACTTGAACACAAGTTATTGTCTGGAAACTAGAAAAATGCTTGTTTTTAGGCCCCTTTTTGGCCCCAAATTCCTAAACGTTAATGGCAATTACCCAAAACTCAAACCCAGCTTTCCTTTTGTGATATGGAACCTTGTAGTTCAATTTCATAAAGATCCATACACTTACACACAAGTTATTGTCCTGAAACTAGAATAAAATGCTCCGCTGGGGCGCAGCTTGATACGACCGCAGAGGTCGAACCCTGAACAGTTGGGGCAAGTATGGACACAACATTCAAGCTTGATACAGCACTGAATTTGGATTGTAATTAAATATTTGACACAGCATAGGTTTCTGACACAGAATGAAAGTGGTCTAAGAACTTAAAAATTTTCAATTTACCTATTCATACATGTGATGGACTGTGAAACTCAGATCAGGAGATTGGGAAATTTTGGTCAGGAGATTAGGACTCAGATCAGGAGGTTTTTAATCGACATTAATTTTGTTGTAAATGTAACCGTGTGCTGTAAAAATGGTCTTTTAAAGTGTGTTTTCTTCAACTTTCCAACCAATTTATTATGTTTATAGTACCCTTGTACTTATAAAGTTTCTCCATCTTTATATTCTACATGTTCAATCTAACATTGTTTTTTTCCAGTATGTTCTTTAAATTTTTAACTTCATATTCTATAAAACAATCATTGCAACCAGAACATTTGTTTAGCTGTCTGCAAATAGTTTTTATTTTATTTTTTTTCTTTTGCAAACTCAGAAATTTATTCTATATATAAAGTTAGGGTCATAGTTATTATATAAATTTCAATTTAAGCCTTAAAAGGAAGTATAGAATCCTCAAATAATTTTCAAATTATTATTTTTTTATTTGTCCTAAGACATTTAAAATCATTTAATAACCATCCTTTTATGATTATTTGTTCAATTTATATTTTATTTATATTCTTTTAAAAATTTTCATTATTAAAAGGAAAGTAACTTAAAACAGGATAAATCAAGGGAAGTAACCCAATAAATACACAGTTTTTGTTACACAACGGCAGTTAGCCTGAGGTAAAAATCGTTGCTTACCAGTATGTTTGACACCCAAGCTGACAAGTGAAGCCATATAATTATGCATGTTAATTGATTTACAGGTAAAATATAACTCCAGGTAATGTCAGTTACACCAGATGCCTGAGATGTTATGTTGGGCAGAAATTTTTCATTCATGAAAAATTTCATACACGGGATTTTTTCAACGGGAGGGGGGGAGGAGACCCCTGAAAACGGGATTATTGTACTCCCGTCGGGAGGTTCACATGTATGCCTATTCAAACCATATCATTATTATTTGCTTTTATATATAAATCAGAAATAACCAATTTAAAATGGAAAATGTTAAAGAAAAAAAAGGAAAAAAAAAATCCCCCCCCCCAATTTTTTGAACCCCCTTATGATTCATCGCCCCCAAACTCAATCCCAGCTTTCCCTTTGTGATATGGAACCTTGCAGTACAATTTCATAAAGATCCATACACTTACACACAAGTTATTGTCCTGAAACTAGAAAAATGCATGTTTTTTTTGCCCTTTTATGGCCCCTAATTACTAAAATTTTGAGGGAAAACCCCCAAAATCAATCCCAGCCTTCCCTTTGTGATATGGAACCTTGTAGTACTATTTCATAAAGATCCATACACTTACAAACAAGTTATTGTCATGAAACTAGAAAAATGCTTGTTTTTTGCCCCTTTTTGGCCCCTAATTCCTCATATTTGGAGGAAATTACCCCAAAAATCAATCCCAGTATTCCCTTTGTGATATGGAACCTTGTAGTACAATTTCATAAAGATCCATACACTTACAAACAAGTTATTGTCATGAAACTAGAAAAATGCTTGTTTTTTGCCCCTTTTTGGCCCCTAATTCCTAAAATTTGGAGACAATTACCCCCAAAATCAATCCCAGCATTCCCTTTGTGATATGGAACCTTGTGGTACAATGTCAGAGAGATCCATACACTTACACACAAGTTATGTCTGGAAGTTACAAAAATGCTTATTTTTGGCCCCTTTTGGCCCCTAATTCCTTAACTGTTAGTACCATAATCCCCAAAATCAATCCCCACCTTCCTTTTGTGGTATTGAACCTTATGGTAAAATTTCAATGAGATCCATTCACTTAAACTAAAGTTAGAGTGCGAAAACTAATGTGTATTCGGACGACGACGACGGACGAAGACGACGACGACGACGACGACGACGACGACGACGACGACGCCAACGTCATACCAATATACGACCACAAAAATTTTTTTGCGGTCGTATAAAAATGCTTGTTTTTTGCCCCTTTTTGGCCCCTAATTCCTTTAATTTTGAGGCAATTACCCCCAAAATCTATCCCGGCATTCCCTTTGTGGTATGGTACCTTGCAGTACAATTTCAGAGAGATCCATAGACTTGAACAGAAGTAATTGCCTGGAAACTATAAAAATGCTATTTTGGACCCCTTTTTGGCCCCTTATTCCTAAACTTTTAGGGCAATTACCCCCAAACTCAAATCCAGCTTTCCCTTTGTGATATGGAACCTTGTAGTTCAATTTCAGAAAAATCCATATACTTACACACAAGTTATTATCATGAAACTAGAAAAATGCTTGTTTTTTGCCCCTTTTTTGGCCCCTAATTCCTAAAACTTTGCGGCAATTACCCCCAAAATCAATCCCAGCATTCCCTTTGTGATATGGAACCTTGTGGTACAATGTCAGAGAGATCCATACACTAACACACAAGTTATGTCTGGAAGTTACAAAAATGCTTATTTTTGGCCCCTTTTTGGCCCCTAATTCCTTAACAGTTGGTACCATAACCCCCAAAATCAATCCCAACCTTCCTTTTGTGGTATTAAACCTTATGGTAAAATTTCATGGAGATCCATTCACTTAAACTAAAGTTAGAGTGCGAAAACCAATGTGTCTTCGGACGACGACGACGACGACGCCAACGTCATACCAATATACGACCAAAAAATTTTTAATTTTTGCGGTCGTATAATTATCTACAAAATGTCTTATAATGAACAGTAAATTTCAAATTTCATTTATACAGTCCTTACTAGTAAATTTCAAATTTTATATATATAGTCCTACAGATCTTATCAGGAAACAGAAAATTTTCAAATAAATCTGTCACTCCAATGATTATCATATGCTAAGATATAACACAGATCTAATTAATAATTAATAATGTAATTAACTTCAAAATGTCTAATAATATAGCTTATAATCATTACCACTTAGGAAATAGATAATTTTCAAATAAATCTGTCACTCCAATTTTTATTGTGAGATAATACATTATGCTTAGTCATAAAAAAGATATCAAGAGTAAAATATTTAAAAATTCCACTTTTGGATATTAAAAATGGCGATAACTCACAAAGGAGATATACTAATATCTTGAAAATTGAAATTGACCTTCATTAAGTCCCAGGAAACAACATATTTAAATTTGAAAAAAATTTGTTAAAGCGTTTTCATGTTATTGTGCTGACACTGTTTGGCAGCCGCCCGTAGGTCCGCCCAGCCGGCCGCTGTACATCACCATTTTAATAACCGATATTTCCTTCGAAAAATCAGGTTAAAAATTACGCAATTTCCACACGCATTAACAGACTTTTGGTTAGATCTCCTTGCTAAATGTATATATTTCCATGTAAATGCATTGTTTCAATTTATTGATTAAAGTTGCTTAACTTTGATAAATTTTATATCTTTTTAATGAGAAACAATGAATTTCATAAAGATGATAAACAGCATAGTTTTTTAATTGCATTTTAATTGATATATGATACTTTTTTTTCCTTTTTGATATAAAAAAGTTCTTTGTAGTGCTAGATATTTAGTTGGTAGTTTCTGACAAGAGGACTAATATAATTGTGCAACTATAAAAGACTATTTAAGACATAAACTGAAACAACTGTTACTTTAATTGACTCAGGCATGCATGAATAAAATAATGTGATTCAAAAATTTGATTTCGTAAACAGTGAATTACAATTTGAATTGATTGATTGATGGTTGCTTAACGTCCAGTGGCAAATATTTCATGCATTTTCAGGACGATACAGTACAGTTTGAAATAGTTGTGTATAAAAGACACATTTGATGTAGCCGTCAAAACAGGTTTAACATTCTGTTTAGTTTTGAAAATTATAAAGAAAATCAACAACCTGATAAAATACACATTCTAAATATAGTATACTCTGCATGGTGTAAATCTGTGAGTTGTGTGCGTAGTTAGTTGGACAAATCTTGCAAAACTGAGAATATATATGCAGCCTCTATATAGGTAAAGCAGTTGGCGCAATATATTTTCAAAATGCCAAATTCAGCAACCTGTCATTTGAAACAAAATCTTTACATCTTTAGTATATGTACTAACACCAGGTACATAATTTAAAAGCTTAAAAACTGTAGTCCTAAGAAATCAGCTGTATAAACTCTATATACCAAGTGCGGGACGGACTGTCGAACGGACACGGGTAAAACAATATGCTCCCCTCATTTTGTCGAGGGAGCAAAAAATATATTAGCATATATGATGATGTTCTATTTTATAAGGTATTTGGTGACAAAATATCTTTTTGAATAAGCAGTTCATTGTGGAGTGGTAATTGGAAGATCTCATATGTAGCAATATAGTTTTTCTTAAGAACATGTGATGTTATAATTTGATAGATTCAATACTTGCTATACTAAATATACTTATTAACTTTCCAATTCAAGGGACCAACGAATCTTTACTAAAACTGCAAATTAGCAGTTAACTAGATGTGTCGGAACGACACGAATGCCCCTTCTCAAAAAGATGAAAAATCTGCAATTTCAACAACACATGTAGACACAAGCATGCATGGATAGTATCCAGCTATCAAGACCAATACTAGTTTGATGAAAAATTTCCTTGATCAATGAGTAGTTAAATTTCAAACTATCAGCAAACAGGAAGCGGATGTACTACAGATCTAACAAGATGTGTTGAAACGACATGAAAATCAGCATAGCAGAACGAAACATAAACTTGATCTGTAATAACTCATCATGGTAGACTCACATACCAAAAAACCAGCCCAAAATCTGAAGGCGTATAGAAAAAAAGTCTGTATAACTGTGACTTTCAACAATTTATTAAAGTCCAAAGCCTGTAATTTCGGCAAAAATTAGCAGAGCGGAACGAAACTTAAACTTGATCTGTAACTCATCATGGTTATCACATACCAAAAATCAGCCCAATATCTGAAGGCATTTAGAAAAAAATTGTGTATAATGGTTTGTTGCGGAATGACGGACAAGGATAAAACTATATGGCCCCGACAACTTTGTTGAGGGGCCATAAATACTTGTCCATCCTGCAATAATCATGTGTTATCTAGATGTCTAGGTTTTGTGTGTTGTTAATTGGCCACTTGCTGTTTTATTGTATATCCCACATCCCCATTTATGCACACAAAAAAATAACAACCCTTTTAACTTACATACACACTTGTATACTTGTTGTAAAAACTCCTAATACAACGTAAGACTGTGAATACTCTCGGGCTATTCCCCGAAGCCTATTTGAGCAATATGCCCCTCCCCAAAAAGGCACCTTTGCTAATCATCTGAGTTGTTTTGTTTTGTCACTTTGTTAAAAGGTGTGTTATTCATCAGCTGAACTTGTACATCATGTCCAACTCAAAACACCAAAAACACACCCATCCCCAAAGACCCAAGTGCAAATTAACATGAATGTAAAATCAAAATGATTCCACTTCATTTGAACTTGGGTGGATAGTTGTCAATCTTTTGCAATCATATCACTTCTCCTTATTTTTATATTTAAGATCTCATTAAGACACCACACGTTGTGGGGGACATAAAAATACTTGGCGTCCGTCCGGTTTTGTTATAGCGCTCTCACCTGTACAATTCTTGCCAGATTTTTATAAAACCTATAAATTAGGTTTATATCTGCATTGTCGCTGACAAGTTTGAAAATCAGTGGCGTTCAATTATTTATTAAAGAGTTACGTATGCCCCTTGGAATTATTAATTATATGGAAATTGCATTGTAAGCTCTCTCACTTGTACAATTATTGACAAATTTTTATAAAATTCATATCAAAGGGTTATATCAGCATAGTTATAATGGCAATGGACAGATGAAATATGAACATCACGGGGGGCATTGGAACTCTGTTCTTTTAATCCCTTTGTTTTTTGCCGTTTGAATAAAATAGGTTAATGAAAATATCTTTTTATAATTTATTTGCGTTGGAAAGCACTTTTCTGGATTTGCCTTCATCGATGCACATCAATCATTTATTGAGGGGCCACAGGTTTTTACTGCATCGTTTGATTGTAAATTTCGAAAAATAGTTTATTTCAGAATGGAATTGAACAAAAATGTAATGGGATTTGAATGATTTAATTTTATTTCGTTTTAACAGAGTGCATATTTAGTGTTGACATCCCCTATGTTTAAGCCTTTGTTAACTTTCTCTGTATTCTGATGTAGTTGTCCTGTGTCGATTGTGCTAATACGATTACAATACTAGTAGTTTATTTTTAAAAAAAGCTTTAGAAACCATATCGGATTTCTTCTGCACAGTCCAATAAATTTCAAAGACTGTTTACACTTGAATCATAGGGAAAGTTGTTCAGCCAAATAGCCAAGTTCAACTACCCTTCTCTACGTCTGCTTGTTCGGTGCTTTTTCGCTTAATTCTATCAATATTGTTTTCCAAATAAATTTCCTTTTTCTATTTCACTAGCAGCGATTTTCAGTGACCATTTTAAAACGAATAGGTTTCTAAGCGGAATTTACCTTACCTTGTGGTACAATTCCCCGTATTTTCACACATTTTCTACTTCCAAAACAAAATTTCATTGGGAAACGGCGTGCATCATTAATAAGAATGTATTGCAAAAAAAACCAAAAGGTTGATTTAATATTTTTTCATTTCCCGATAAAAGTACAGCCTACATGAATTGTGTCGTCAACCATCAAACCTGCTCCATCGACTAGTATCTATGAACGTTGTTCAACAAAGTCAGGAACGATAACTCATAACGCAACATCATTTGATATCGTGTTACCTTAATTACGAAAGTAACAATAATATTTGTGTCTATGGCTACGTTCCGTTATTGTTATGTTAATGCACTTCAATGTATGCTGGGACTACTAATATGTATTAAAATATAACTTGAAAACTTTTATTTTCTTAAACACTGCAATACAATTTTTTCACATCCAGTATGTGCTTTTAGGAGCATGGTTTAAGTCTGATGCATTTTTGGTGAAACCACTGTCATGACTGTATGTCAGCCATCACAAACGAGTGATGCAGCAATGTGCATGTGGTTTTGCAGACTAAACAGTTCCACTGCGCAATATCCCTTTTTGAAGTTAAAGCAACTTTCAATGTCTGCCATACTTCAGGTGAAAAATATTTTTTAGTATTGAAATGTTTATATTTTCATCCAAAATTTTGTTGGAAATGTGAGGTTGTCTTTTAATATCATTTCATTTCCGTCCATTACTGAAATCACACTACATTGATTGATTGGTGTTTAACGCCACTTTCAACACTATTGTGCTGTTTTGTGGCGGTCAATTTTTATTGGTGGAGGAAGCCGGAATGCTTGGAGAGAACCACTGAAGGAAGTTCGCAGTATTTTACTTCACTGCTGTCAAACTTTGCTTTTGATGTATCAATTTTTCGCGAACTGCATTTGTATAAAGTTTTATTCTCGATATTGTTTTAGTTTTGATTCAAACGCATCTTAAGTTTTAAATTTTTCACCCAAAACAAATTTGCTTGCTGTTCGGTGTGAGCCAATGCTCCGTGTTGAAGGCCGTACCTTGACCTATAACGGTTTACTTTTATAAATTGTAACTTGGATGGAGAGTTGTCTCATTGGCACTCATACCACATCTTCCTATATCTATTGGTAATAGGAATCACTTCATCCATTGTTCAAAGTATAATGACAGTAATAAGGGAAGGTGTGCAGTTAAATGATTCTTAAATACATAGAAGTGAACACTTTTCTTCTAAACATCGCACCATTGAACTATATTTTTTGCATTTGGCACTACTAAAATGTAGTATTATCTTGTTGAATATTAAAACAATTAGTACTTAAATACTATTTAAGCATTTTTTGTTGAATAATAATTATTATTATTATCAAGTATTTCGAGGAATTAAGCAGCAAAACTATAGTAGGTTAAAATTTAATAAATCTAACGTAACAATAACGCAATGTAACCATAGACACAAAATATTATTGTTACTTTCGTAATTACTCGAATTTTCTAACCCAACCTAGCATTCCGGCAATTAGAGTCCAATGTAACAATAACTTTTTTATCATTGTTACATTTCAAAGTAATCATAGCCAGTGCCTATTTTATATGTGAGATGACACATATCAATAATAAAATGCTTCGCTGAGCGCAGCCAGATACGACTGCAGAGGTCTAACCCTGAACAGTTGGGGCAAGTTTGGACACAATATTCAAGCTTGATACTGTCTGAATTTGGATTGTGATCAAATTTTTGACATAATATAGGTTTCTGACACAAAATAAATGTGGTCTAAGATCTTAAAAATTTGAAATGGGACATTTAATTTACCTAGAATGGTCTGATATCCAAAATCTAACAACATGGTTAGATTCAGCATATAAAAAAACACCAAAAATTTAATTTTAGTTGAAATCAAACAAAGTTTAAATTT